CCGGGTCAGCTGTAGTGTCGGGTCTCAGCTGTAGCGTCCGGGGTCAGCTGTAGTGTCGGGGGTTAGCTACAATGTCCCGGTTAGCTGTAGCACCCAGGATCAACTGTAGTGTCCGGGTCAGCTGTAGAGTCAGGGTGAGATGCAAGTGTCCGGGCCAGCTGTAGTGTCCGGGGTCAGCTATAGCGTCCCCGGTCATCTGTAGTGTCCCGGCCAGCCGCTGTGCCGCCGCCGGACGGTCGGTCGATCCCGCTGTCCGCCCACGATCCGTCTCGTTGAGGCGGTCACCGCCGACTGCCGTGCCGCCGGGGGCTATCGAATCTGGAGGCTCCGTCAGCGAGTCGGCCGCCTCCGTGACAACGAGCCCTCCACGGCCGCCGCGGTCAGGGTCAGAGGTCAAGGTCAATGACCCAACCTCCCTCGGTGGTCAGCTCAGGTGCACCGTAAGGCACTGTCAGATAATCCCCCTGTCCGACCGAGCCGCTGAGATCACCGGCTCAATGAACACCACTCTGAGGACGCGCACGCCGCACACGGCTGGCGGAGCCTCGTTACTGAGCGGCAGCCTGAGGCTGGATGTAGCGAGACGGCTCAGCAGCGGCGGGACATGGCTGACGGGCATGGATTGTCGTCCGGACGAGATGAATTGCGGTCGAGGCCGAAACAAAACTGAGGCGGCACACATTGAGACAGAATTGAGAATGGGTTACAGCGTCAGCTATGCTGGGACGGTTTTGAGACTGCACTATAGCCGACTGAGACGAGATTGAAATGATATTGAGCGAACACTTACAAGGTAGAAAGGAGACACTGCTACCTGTTTTATTTTGTTTGTTTGTTTTGTTGGACTAGGCCCTTCAGGGGCGGATCCAGGAAAACTCCAAGGGGAGGGTCATGAATCGAAGTGGTGCCCCTACCTATACCCAAAATTAAAAACTCAACGGATTTCGTCCACTTCATTTTGGTGGTGCCCCCATTTTCAGTTTTTTATTTTTATTTTTTATTTTTAGTCAGTATCTTACCTCTTAGCCACAACCACATTTACCAATTGTAAGCAAGTATATATGAATGTGCTATGTGTATATATGTTGTGGACGCTGAGTAATGAGTACTTACCAGGAACGTTATCAGGTAAGCAAATCGTTGTCAGTCCGACGAACTTGACCCTGGCGTCTAAAGGGTCTGTCCTTGACACTTCAGGCTTGTCAGGGGCACCAAAGTCCTTCCAGGGACACCACAAACCTGTCAGGGGCACCTACGGCCTTGTAGGGGCGCCACAGGCCCGCCAGGGGCACCACAGGCCTGCCAGGAAGCAGGGGCACCACAGGTCTAGCAAGTATACACCACAGGCCTGTCAGGGGCACAACGGGCCTGTTGGGCCCATGAGCACCCCTAGGGGCAGGGGCACCACAGTCCTTCCAGGGGCACCGCAGGCCTGTGAGGGGCACCAGCGGCCTAGCAGGGGCACCAGTCAACACAGGCCTGCCAGGGGCACCACAGACCTGCCAGGGGCACCAGAGGCCTGCCAGGAGCACCACCGACCTCGCAGGGGTAACTTGGGCCTGTCAGGGCCCAGGGGCACCACGGGCCTGTCGAGAGGCACTTCAGGCTTTTCAGCAGTGGTCGATAAAACTTCCAACGTGCCAACGCTCGTTGGAGCAAGATATTAGCAATACTTGGAAGAGCTGGAGACAGTCCGCCCGTCTACATGGATGCTTCCTTACGCCTAAAGTACAGCATTGACTTATGACTTACTAATCGTCCGGTGCTGTTATCGGCTGCTCGGTACCGCGTGTATGTTCCCTCATTCACTCCTGGTCACCCTTCGGTCACCCCTCGCTGGGTCGGGCCAGTCGGCTATTTTTATCCTCTTTCCGGCTAGGCCACCGCCCGCTGAGCTCCCGCCGTGCCGCGCCGTCTGCGAGGGACCTGACCCTTCTGCCGGCAGAGGTTTCTCCAGGTGTCTCCAAGGAGCCATCGTAGCGCTAAGGGTGTGCTCCGCATACAGATACATTGATTTTCGCCCTTACTAGCAGGGCCGCTGGCACGCGTTGGCAGCGCCCTGCGGGCATTTTTTCGCTTAGGGTCATTTTGTGGTGAGGAGGACCAGAAAATCACCCTTCCAACTTTCTCCAGGCCTGGGTGGTTTATCGAGCGCGCCTGAAAACGCACAGTGGACCGAAATCACACTTCGATTGCGTTACTTCGTATTAGGTAATACGATAAAAAGTCCGCTCTTTTGTCAATCAATAAGGACAAGTGCGTTAAAGCACACATATAAACTTTTAAATTAAAAGCTTTAAAATGCTAAATTTCAACATCTCTAAGCTGATGATAATCGTTAGTTGTTTCAGACTTTGGCGCGAAAACGTAGGCATTCAGATCCACCGTGCGACCGGTCACCGTACGCAGTAGTGTGATGGTGTGAGTTGGGGAATCAAGGCCGTATGGGGAGAAGGTGAGGAGATACCGGTGTGCCGACGCGGCGGATGGCAGTGAATTTTCAGGATAGGTAGCAAAAGGCTCATTCCCAGACGTGCCAAATTTTGCGGCGCTACGCGACGCCAACTTTTACGCTATTCGCGAAAAAAACTTAGGGAGGCTGCCCCCCCCCCCCCGCCAGGCGAGGGCTAAGTTGGAGACAGTGATGGGACTAAGATGTTCGTTGGAGCAACTCCAAGCATTTTATCGACCTCTGCTTTTCAGGGGCACCATAGTCCTCTCAGGGCGCAGGGGTAGCAGGGGCACCAGAGGCCTGCCAGGGGCACTACAGGCCTAGCAAGGGCACCACTGGTCTATCAGGGGCACCACGAGCCTGTCATAGCCAGGCATCTCAGGCTTGTCAAGGCCCAGCGGCACCACAGGTCTGTGAGGGGCACCAGCGACCTAGCAGGGGCACCAGTCAACACAGGTCTGCCAGGGGCGCCACAGACCTGCCAGGGGCACCACAGACCTGCCAGGGGCACCAGAGGCCTGCCAGGGGCACCACCGGCCTCGCAGGGGCACCTTGGGCCTGTCAGGGGCACGACGGGCCTGCCGAGGGGCACTTCAGACTTTTCAGGGGCACCAGTCCTCTCCGGGCGCAGGGGCACCAGAGGCCTGCCAGGGGCACCAGCGGCCTAGCAAGGGCACCAGAGGCCTGCCAGGGGCACCAGCGGCCTAGCAAGGGCACCAGAGGCCTGCCAGGGGCACCACAGGCCTAACAAGGGCACCACGGGCCTGTCAGGGGCACCTCAGGCTTGTCAGGGCCCAGGGACACCACAGTCCTTCCAAGGGCACCGCAAGCCTGTCAGGGGCACCAGAGGCCTGCCAGGGGCACCACAGGCCTAGCAAGGGCACCTCTGGCCTGTCAGGGGCACCTCAGGCTTGTCAGGGCCCAGGGGCACCACAGTCCTTCCAGGGGCATTACAAGCCTGTCAGGGGCACCAGAGGCCTAGCAAGGGCACCACAGGCCTGCCATGGACACCACAGGCCTGCCAGGGGCACCACCGGCCTTGCAGGGGCGCCTCAGGCCTGTCAGGGGCACCACGTGCCTGCCGGGGACACTTCAGGCTTGTCAGGGGCGTTACAGTCCTGTCAGGGCCCAGGGGCACCAGGCCCGTGGTGTCCCTGCTAGGCCTGTGGTGCCCCTGGCGGTCCTGTGGTGCCCCTGTCAGGACTGTGATACCCCTGATAGGCCGGTGGTGCCCCTGGAAGGTCTTTGGGCCCCCGGGCCTCAAGGGGGGGGCCATGACCCATGTGACCCCCCCTTGGATCCGCCCCTGAGGCCCTTTCGGTCTGACAAGACCATTGCAGAGCCGGAAGGATGATAGGAATTAGGGGGAGACATTGGTCTGGGCAGGCACCCTAGTGAGTCGCCGGGGTTGAGCCCGTCCAGAGGACAGGCCACCCAGCCCCAATGCACTCACTGCACCCGGCTACGGGGTGCGCTCCCTCAGGAGCAGCGGTGCCGCTCCAAGGGAGCAGCCCGCATGAGATAAAGTTGCCTGCCCAGCCCGGAGGGGGGTTGCGGCGTGGAGGAGAAGGATTTCAGCATCCTGAGGATAGAAGCACGGAACGGTGACCTGTTTTATTGAGAAAGTGCCAAGTCAATAAAAGATGGCAATGAGTTTATATCAAATTTCAACTTTGCTGGGATAAAACTGACACTCAGAGTGGAATCTGCTGGCGGCCGGCGCTCTGCCGGCTCGTTAGCTGGCCTCGTTTGGTGACACGGCCCCCCGTTTGGTGACACGGCCCCCGGCGGCGGCACTAACGCGGCCGGAGCCGGCCGGCCGTCGTCCAACACCCGCCTCGCCAGTCGCGCTGTCAGGATTAAAAATGGAGCGCAGCCCCGACATCATCTTCATACGTCATTAGATAGATGGCACCATTCTGAGAGCAGCCTTTTGAGGCCACGAATAGAAGCGACGCAGCTGTTGGCGCAGACGTGCTCATGGCTCTGCAGTTGTACGACTATCATTTACAATATTCGGAGGATACGATGAAATATTGCTTATCATTCGAGCGGCTGTGTGTGAGATTTGGATTTATTCTACGTTGGTAACGCGTATGGTCGGACTTTCGCCAGAGTTCCAGATTTCGAGGAATCCATAATTTAAGCTTGCATTGAATTCTAAAAGCTGGGTTACAAGTTATGGATCTTCAGGATTCGGTGTATGAAATTCTGATCTTCTCTGAATTTTTAGATAAAGCTGATCAGCAAATAGTTCAAGAAAAATACATAGGTGCAGTACCATAGAACATATTTTCGGTCTTAAAAAATGCACCCCATTGAACATTTTAAAGCACAATTAATCATCCCACGTTTTACATTACCTCATCTCATGGAAAAAGTCGTAAAATAACCAATGTTTGGAAGAGAGAGAGCGAGAGAGAGAGAGAGAGAGAGAGAGAGAGAGAGAGAGAGAGAGAGAGAGAGAGAGAGAGAGAGAGAGAGAGAGAGAGAGAGAGAGAGAGAGAGAAAGTGTCGATATTGAATTGCCTGATTTGTTTCCATAACATTATTTGCAAAAGGTTTATTTTCAATGCAAACACGACAGTCATGATGTTGCACTTCGACAGTTCACTCGAAGCAGCACATTTTTAGCGACATGCTCAGTTACTCACACTCATAGAGCTGCTCATACATGATAGCCTAAGGAAAACACTGCCCCCAATACCGGTCATGCAGCTCACAGAGGGCACTGATCCCTATAATGGTTGGGTCAATGATCCTATAATGGTGTGTAGCATGTTCTCCAAAGGTAAATGTCCACGACGGTTGTCGCATCCAAGCATTGCTCTTTTCGCACCTCTCCTCTGCTTATGACATGACGTCACTGAAACGTTCGCCTAAATCTAGCCCGCAATGAAAGCGAAACGGTAAAAAATGCGGGGGCATTGCTGACTAGCATCAACGAACATTTCACATCGGTGACATAAATAAGTGAAAAAAGCTTTAAAAAATGTCAGGCAAGATCTTCTCATAATTGATTAACGACCAGAGGCGGCAAATATAAAATGCCTAGCATATTCCTAAGATGAAAGTATGAGGGCAGCAAAGACCTTTCGTTAATCGTTACCTTACAATCTCTTAAAATCGTTCATCGTTAATTTTTGTCATTCGTTAAATAGTTAGTAAGTGCGAAAAACGAATATGCAAAAATGTGTCTAACTCTTACTTACTAATGATTTAACGACTAGCGATTAACGATTAACGATTTTGCGACGATTGTAAAGATAACAATTAACGAATACTCCGAAGATGTTGTAGTTAAGTATGTAAATATGATGCCCAGTTGATATAACAGGTTGGTATTAGTTAAAATAGGATAATAACTTCATAAATGACAAACTTCAGTACAGAAACGTCTTCGACTTTGGCACCACTTACAGACGTCATTGAACCATTTGTGTTCAAAAACATCCAAGCATGAGTACCCCATCAACATTGCTGATCATCAACAACAGATCACCTGAAAAACTGTGATCGAGAGCACACACGGCCTTCCATAATGGCTGTCTCATCGGGTAGCCGAGCAGACTCTACAACAAACAGCGGCCTGCGAACCCGCTACCTCATCAACAGGTTATGGCTCCTTACTAAGACCCCAGGACACTCAGACGCTGCTGTTGACGTGATAACACTTGGCTCACATCACAACACGGTGACAGTCACATCAAAGCTCTGACGTCACGTCATCTGACGTCACCAGAACAGAGCCGGCGGGCCCTGTGACATCACTGGGTGTGACACTGTGACACTGTGACACAAACACCGTGACACTGTGACACAAACAGTGTGACACTGTGCGGCCGGGGTCCGGGGGCGCGCGGGCGGGCCGCCGTCTGTCTGTCCAAGGACCCGGCACCGCTCAACTTCCGCCACTCGATGGAAGCGGCACGCCCACTCGGCATGTCACAAGGTATCCTGCAGCGGCGCGGCCGCCGCGGCCAGCTCGACGCCTGTTTTGGCTCCCATTGCCGGCGAGGTATGTCGCCAAGTTCACTCGGTCACCGGGCACACTCCGAAGTTCTCAGCCGAGAAGCACTTGCTGCGACACCCCCTCCCTCCCTCCTGGGGAGCGTCAAGTAGTCCAGGGCTGAGCCCGGCGGCCGCCGCTCAGTTCCGCCGGGTGTCACTGAGTTCCGCACACCTCCGACCGGCCAGGGGTAGGCTGATGTGAATGGTTATCATCTGACGCAGACGGCAGTCGTCATCAGCAGGGCTGACGTCAGTAGGACCGCTGAGCGCGCCGGACTCGCAGAGCCGTGCTGCATGGCCGCCGGGTGTTCTCCTGCCGCAGGACACGCAGGCAGAGGTCAGGGTGAGCTCAGGTCTGAGGTCAGGGCACAAAGGTCAGAGGTCAGGGTGCTTGAGGTCAGAGGTCAAGGTGCTTCAGGTCGGAGGTCAGGCTGGCTCAGGTCAGAGGTCGTGTGGACCAGTAGCGGCGGAACATCTTCAATTAAGGGGGGTGGGGGCACCGCCGACTTTTGGTCCCATTCTTTCCATGCAACGCCCATAGGGCTAATGTTAACCCGCGCACCGACGGGGGTCTGCGCCAACTTCGCACCGACGGGGGGGGGGGGGCGGATGACCGCCCCCCCTGAGATGTCGCTATCTTGCTTCGAGAACGAAGCAAGATAGCGACAAGCGGTAAACGGCATCGGATACGCACGGCCAAGATCTACAATTTTTACAAAGGTCATTTTCAGGTCAGGTCAAAGATGACGTCACAGGGGTCGAAAAAGTCAAAATGGCGGCGCTAGATATGGAGAGAGTTTTTCTCGAATAACTTTCGAATTAGTCAAGATATGAACAAACTAAGGGCATCATCGTGATCCTCTCGTCAATCCGCATCGAATGATATATATGTTGACCTCGAAAGGTCAAGGTCAAAGGTTGACCTCAGGTCACGTGACCTCGAGGTCATCATGTATATCATTCGATGCGTCTTGACGAGCTGAACACAATGAGACCATCCACGCGGCTGTATCTTGTTCCTGTACGGAGTTATTGGCCAAAAACCTTTGGTGACCTTTGATGACGTCACATGACCTCACAGCTGCCCAACAGCAAAACAGACCTCAAAGTAGTGAAGGTTGATCGTATATGAAGTCATGTTAAGTATATGGGGCCATTCCGACCCGTTTTAGTGGTAAAAACAGGGAGTTGATTTTTCCCCCATTGACTTATAATGGGGAGGTCGCGAAATTGACCTGACCTTAGGTCACCGATATCAAAATTCCGAGATATACAAATTGTAGCTACTAATGACCTAATAATATCCTACGACTTTCAAAGGCCTCCGACATCTACTGTAGCTGTGGCACGGTGACAAAGTTGCAAAAAAGTGACTTGAGGTTGGGTCATTCAAAGTGACCTGGTGACCTGACCTTAAAAGGTAGGAAGTTCAAACTTGCACACCATGTGTAAAATTAATGAGGTTATAGTCATACCAAATTTCGCGGCGGTAGCGCCGCGGTTTTCCCGCTATTCGCGAAAAACCTCAGGGGGGGCGGATATCCGCCTCCCCCGTCGGTGCGCGGGTTAAAATGTCAAAATCAAGCGGGCACGGTGCCCCGGTGCCCCCTCGTTCCGCCGCCTATGATGTGGACTAATGTAAGAACCAAGTAAGATCTCTCGGTTTTCGGGTCAGATGTCAACTCAGGCTTCAGGGCCATACTGCGAGGACAAACATCGAGGCATATTTCAAGGAAAGCGTTAGTTTAGGTCAGTGGTCGGCAGGTCATCCGGGGTCGTGCCCCCTTTTTGGGCGCCAGGCGGAGCCATTACCCCCACCTACCAGACCCCATTGCTGACACAACCAAGTTTACTCAAATTCCATACCGTCCTGGAACTCTTTGGGTATTTGTGCATTTCCAATGCATCAAATTTAAAACATGACACTTCCTCCACAAAACATTTAATACCTATATCCCAGTAGCGGCGGAACACCTTCAATTAAGGGGGAGGGGGGGGGGGCACTGCCGACTTTTGGTCCCATTCTTTCCATGCAACGCCCATAGGGCTAATGTTAGAATGCAAAAACCAAAGGGTGCACGGTGCCCCGGTGCCCTCCCCGTTCCGCCGCCTATAGCTATATCCCATTTAACCCTTGTACTTACGTATAGGGGCGGCGGGTGGTTTTTCGTTAAAAGCTCACGTAAAAGGCATTGGATCACCACCAAATTGTACCCTCGAGCCCATCATTTTTTTTTTATTAGCCCGGAAAATATCATGACCTGAGACCAGTTTTACCAACAGAAAAATAACCGCCTGCCGGAATTTTTGCCTCAAGACCGCTTCACATACGGAGCGTAAACGCGATGGGTTCGTAAGCGGATAGGGCTTTACCTTTTACGCTCCATATGTGAAACGATTTTTAAGGCAAAAATTCCGGCAGGCGGCTATTTTTCTGTTGGTAAAACTGGCCTCTGAGTCTGGACCCATAATGACCGTTGGCTTATGAGCTTTTTCTGGAGATCATCTTGAGCCATAAAATCTCACTTCAAGAAGTTATAGCGGGTCCAGATTTTCTCGACACTTGTCATTGCCCTCTTGAAAGTGAGACGGAATGACCAAGGACCTTAAAAATGGGCAGCAGCGGCTTCCTATTGTCACGGGTAGCACGCTCGTCTTTTTTATGCACAGCTCCATATCAGAGTCCGAGAGGCCGCGGGGGTCCGATCGACTCCTCCCCCTTACGTTAGCGCGGCTGTTGAAACGCTAACAGACGGGCGACGGTTAAAAGTTGCAGCTGCTTTTGTACGACTGTACGGAGGGGTGAGATGGTGAGGCGAGCAGGTACGTGAAAATTGGTATCTAATCAATGTGTGGTTGATTCTTCGGTTCTGTGCCTTTGGCCTGGGCTAATCTTTGAACCCTGGGATGCAACAGTCACGATGGCTCCATCACTGGAGCTACAAACTCTAAAAAGATAGGCTTTCTCAGAATCCCTCATTACCCCCACCGAAAGGGCTCCATTACCCCCAAAGGGGGCATGCCCCACCATTTGCCGACCCCTGGTTTAGGTGATACTGATGGTATACTCGTAAATAAGACAAAAACAAACCAGCTCCATGTAACCATCTCCTTCAGGTCAAAACGATTTTTTCACTGGATCTTTACCCAAAGGCCGTTCAATATTTCTTAGCATGGCTGTCAGCAAAAGTGGACCAAGCCGTTGGCTGCAGACGAGAGATATCCACCGTTCTGGGAAAGGGCACGAATAATAAAGGCATTTGTCAGAAGTCATCCGGTTTTATTGGCTACAAATTTATTGCCGCCCAAATCAGAGATGTATCCGCATTGAAATTAGGTTGGCTAGGATGCTTCAAATAAATTGTAGCATATTTGGATGAAGGATTTTCAGAGAATATTAACAGCTACTTACACAGTGAACAGTATATCTCTGAAATTTGTTTTTAGTCTGGGCTTCGCGAGCAGCGGCGGCATTATTAAATGGACGGCGCGCGATCCCTGTAGTCTGTAGGCCTGAAACTCGGACACTTTATCTTCATCTCAGAAACGATATTAAAACGTCCGCTGTTCCAAACTCTAACCGGTGCACCTCAGCTGGGTTTCTTCCATGCATCCTCGGGCCGGTCACTCAATAAAAGACACGTAATACATATTTATACCCCTAAGCTTAAGCTCCATTAAACAGAAAATAGCCACTCCATTGCATCCACCGTCGAGCCGCGATATGGCCGGAGAGCGACGGTCGGGACGGCGGTCATCTGACATCAGCCGGCCGCTGGGTCCAATCCCCGCCCGGCCATCCTCCTAACGGGTTGCCAGCTCCGCTTTTCATGTTCACTGCCAGTCAAAGTACGTGATCAATACAAGTTGGTACTGGCGTCAGGGCCTGGTAAGCCGGCTGGTGAGGCTCCCAGGCCGGAACGACGGCGAGTTTTGTCCTCAGCAGCAGCTCCAGCCCGGTCCACAGACCAACTTATAGTCGCCAGATGCAGGCAAACTTGGGTCGGTGACGCCGGTGCTTTATCACGAACGAAATCGGTGGCAAAGTCGAGTTTGGTGGAGATTAACAATGTGTTGGGCTCAACACCGTCGAGCAGTTTCCGTGATAACCGCGCGGCTCTGTCGGGTGGCGGGGACGTGCGCAGGCCCGCGGGGGCGGCCGGGGGCGGCCGGAAGGAGCCCGTCCCCGTGCCGCCGGGCAGATGAGCGGCGCTGGTCACGGCGTGCTGATGTCCTGAATGCGGCCGCTCAGATACACGAGTGGGAGCGAGCCGCCCGTTTAGCCGTCATGAATCACACTAATGGCCCGGCTATGCTCGAAATTAGAGCTCGCCGCCGCCGCTTCTGTCGTTCTCGCAGAGAGTCTCACCGAAATGGCCCCGGTCTGACAGAGTGGTGCTCGTTTTCTTCCGTGCGGTAAAACCTGGTGCCCGGAAAGGATGGAGGAGACGGTGTGCGTGTGCGGAAGCACGGACCGTGCGGGGAGCGCGGCGTCGAGGAGCCGCCCAAAATCGCACTATCAACAAGGACTTACCGATACATGGGAACTCATAAACAATCTATTGAGCTTCTGGGAAGCGTAGGTAATCGCGTCTAGTTTCAGGGAGCCCCAAGGGACGATGGGGAACCCCATCTGTTTGAAGGAAGCCGTAGAAAATATAAAAAGAATATAAACTTAGAGTGCCAGAGAGAGCATTGCATCTTGACGTTATAAGACGGCTGGCTTTATGCACGGCTAGCACCTCACGGAACTGTGCATATAGGGCAAATATAGGGACACAGACAGAAGGTGAATGGGAGCGATGCACTTGCACACATGCATATGGCCTATAGGAGCGGTGTAGACTGCGGAACGACATACAGCGCAGCAGGGGCGCTTTAGAAGCAAGGCGAAAGCAACAGTTGAGCGCCGTGCGAGCGACAGCTGAGGGGCGTGTGAGCGACAGCTGAGCGACAGTTGAGCGACAGCGGAGCGGCGTGTGAGCGACAGTTAAGCGTGGTCCGAGCGATAGGAGAGCGACAGTGGAGCGGCGTGCGCGCGGTCGCGGACCTCCGACCGATCGTCCGTTCAGATTGCCGTCTCCTCCAGAGACCACCGGGCGAGAGCGTCATTTATTTCGGCCGCTCGGAGAAATAATGCGTACTGCGCTCCGGCCGCCTCACCTAATTGACACCGCTCCGATTTCTCTGCGTCAAATTACTTTCGGAGCACGTTTTATTTCCGCTGAGTGAGACGTACCGCTCTCGTTTGGAGTTTGAAAGGATCGTAACGCATTTCTCCAAACTGAGCTTCAGGCCTTTAATAATGATTCTGATATAAATGTACTGAACGATATCGAATGGCACTGTTTTAAATGGCTTATATAATTGTCGTAATCATAAACAGACTCAAGTGTGTAGCTTTTCGGAAAGGAAACTGTATGGTTTGGCAACAATGAATAAGGGCAAATGGTGAGTATTGCGTTCGAATTGGAACTTAAATTTTGAAGCCTCAATTTTAATTTAAGTCGGTTAAAATGTAACCATCATAGCTTCATGGTTCATTGATTCTTCAAGAGCCATACCATTCTTAAAACGCTCAAAAACGTCCCAGGCCTGTACTCAGCTCCTCGTAAGTGGCGTGCCCCATATAAGCTATATTGACACGTACATACACCTGCACCTACATACCCCTACGATACACGTACATACATACATGTATGTACATATGTATCGGGTATGTACAAATGGGTATGTACGTGTATCGTAATCGCAACGTGCCACAGGATGCACCGCTATTAGAACGTGACCCACAGGTGACCTCTGACACGGCACTGACCTGTCAGCACGTGCACCATCACGTGGTCGGCCTCGGCGTCTGTGGGCTGACACGTGTACTGGCCAGAGTCGGTGAGCCCGGCCCGAGAGACGAGCAGACTGCTGGTGCGGCCAGCTGTGGTGGCCACCACCCGACCCAGACCCACTGGCTGGTCCTCCTGGGACCAGGCTGAGGACGCGGTACAAACAGTGGTCAGAGGAGGCTGAAGATACGGTACAAACAACGGTCAGAAGAGGCTGGACACACGGTACAAACATCGGCCAGAGGAGGCGGGGCACACGGTACAAATACTGATCAGAGGAGGCTAGACACACGGTGCAAACACCGGTCAGAGGGGGCGGGGCACACGGTACAAACACCGGCCAGAGGATCCGGAGTTAAAACTTATAGAGCTGACAGGACGAAGTTAGAAAATGGGGTGAAATCCTGGGCAAGCCGGCATGATGTTCGTAGATGTCATCTATTACTTATTAGTGTCGAAGAGCTCAAGAGAACTTCACGTGTCACAGTCATTCCAAGTTGCGCGTCAAGTGCCCGTGTCTGCGGCCCATAGACCTGCAGGAAACGTCTCATCTGGCTTTCAAACACCTAAGAAGTAAAGTGCTGCTCTCAGGGTTTCCCCGTCAGAAGTTTTTGTTTCGCTAAATCAGCACATATTTGAAAATGCACTATCAGTGCAGAATGTATTGGGTTTAGATGCATTTTTGCCGGATACAGTCATGACCCTATAGCAGAAGGTCCCTGCTAGCGTAGCTCAAATATGTTGTGTGCAGTTTTCGGTGAATCATTTTACTTTTGTTTCTTGCCTTATAGATTGAGGCGTATCGTCAAGGTATGCAGGACTCCCGCGCACGGTAAAAACTATCCTCCAAGGGAAACTAATTTAATTTAGCTCTATCGACTGAATTTCGGAACAGAACTTTTCTCCGCTGTGACGCAAGTAGCTGCCTCGACTGCCGATGTTATCAGCTCTGTTTACTGCCCCAGCCCCCCCCCCCCATCGCCCCCTCCCCGCCCCCCGGCTGGCAACACATATCGAGCGAGCGGGCCGAGCGCGGGAACTGGCCGCAGGCTGCGTGACACTGCAGTACACACAACGATTGACCAATAACACAGTGACGCAAGAACATGTCACAAACTAAATAACACTTTTTACACCACGCGTGGATGACGCACACATGTGAAAAATGTACGCTTTCAAGCTCCAATGCATGCGTAGTAACTACTATGAACTTACTCGTAGTAAGGTCTTATTACATTGTTGCATACATATATAGGGATAAGCAGAAAGGAAATATCGATGCACGGTGCCGTTCGTAGTATACGCAGAAGCTGCAGCTGGTAATGCCCAGGGTCTGGCGGAGCCGGGTAGCGCGGCCGGCTATTCTCATGAGAGCAATTTCCGCGTCGGTCGAGAGGTCACATCATTATGCTTGATTGGTCGGTTCCGGTGCCTTCCCATATATACGCGGTGTTGATGGTGCTATTGTGACATTGTCCGCTTCCAGAGTGTAAGCCGTTCCACGGAAAGAAACGCTTAATCCTGCTACATACAATTTGTGGCGGTACGTAAATATGTACATACATAAATGATACGCTATAAAAGGAAACATACTGAAAAGTATTAACACCTACGCATTTATTACTTTAATGGAAGATGTATTGTTGTCCATTGCTATGTTGTACAGACAGGGACAATCGACCATGTTCTATTTCAGCAAGATGTTCATTGTTCAAGAACCATGAGCTGCGCACTGCCACTGCCAGTCTCTTCCGCCTGCAGCTTCCACGGTGCTGCCCGCTAAGGCTAAGCCCCTGCACCATACGCTGGCTTCCGGCCATGGATTTGGCTGCAGGATCCCGGTGAGCCGATCTCTCGGCTCCGGCTTAGTCAAACTAGGAGTCGTGTGTTCCATCGCACTGAATGACACGGGGGATATTCTGCCGATACACAGGCCGATCCGCCCACCGGCCGGCCACGCCCGCCCCAGCCCTCACCGCGCCGGTCAGTAGCGGCGGAACACCTTCAATTTAGGGGGGGGGGGGTACTACCGACGTGTGGTCCCATTCTTTCCCTGCAACGCCCATAGAGCTAATGTTAAAATGCCAAAATCAAGGGGGCACGATGCCCCCCCCCGTTCCGCCGCCTATGCCACTGGTGTAGTGTATGACTGAGCCGATGTGCAGCCAGTACCGCCCGCCCCAGCCCTCACCGGTGTAGTGTATGATCGCGCCCCAGCCCTCACCGGTGTAGTGTATGACTGAGCCGTTGTGCAGCCAGTACAGCTGGCTGATGTTATGTGTCAGCGTGCACGACAGGCTGATGGAGCTGCCCGCCTTCACAAACAGCTCCCGGTTGCTGGCGATGTAGGCCCGAGACTCTGGAACAATGAGCGAGAGGACCGGCGGTGAGTCATAGCAGCGGTCGCGTTTTGAGTCCTATGGTGAGTCATTTCTTACGTTGAAAATTGAAGTCCGTTGGGTAGAGCAAGAAGAGTTTGGGTTTCTGTGTAAGTCACAGGTGGATAGTTAACAGGACACAGCAAAGAGTTCTGAATTCATCCACAGGCGTCCACAAAAGAGGCAGTGTCTTGTGACGAGTTTGAATGATCTGCACTGCATGGTCATTGACCATCTATCATTTTATACCCGAGTAAGTAGATAAATGGATTTTGAATTTGCTCTCAGTTGCCTGGCTGGCGTTCATAACATTTATCACTGACATGTTAAATGTGTAACTTAAGCAAAAGGATAATAGAATTAGTGATCAAGTGATCAATATCTGAAGCCATCAAATGGTATTCGAAGAGAAAGGAAACATGCGCATTTGTTTGAGTTAACGATATAATGGCTCTATACTTTATTTGATATTTTATTAAACGTCCCTGTGCCAGCACTTTTAGACAATCGACTTTCAACTTCGTACCTTGTAATAAATGTTTTGCTATAATGGACGTAGCAAAGATGGATTTGAGTTTAAATTTGGCCTTGACCAAATGATCACGTAGTCAAAAACTTGATTTCAGACACTTTAAGCCTTAAGATAGCCTTAAGTAGGCATGCTGCGTCGAGGCGGTGTGCATAATGACTGGTAATGTCACCATTTCCGGCTTAATTTTTCACTCCCAAGATAGGCACCCAACTCAGCGGGGTTGATTCTATTTTAGTGACCCTGACTGCGCTATTAAGTCGCCAAATCTATTCTCCTACACGTCCACTGGCGCTTCAGATAAGAACCAATAGTGATGGTAATACCAATGAAACGGGCCCATAAAACACTCATCTTATTAACTCCGTCGTCAGATTTGAATGCAAAGATTTAGTAACGCACACGGGTCGATCGTCACGATCGACGGCCGATCTGGCGGAGGTGCGGCGACGACCGTCGGCTTCCGGCGGGGAAATTCGCCGGAACCGCTAACGGCGCCATCGGCGGCCGGCTAACTGCCGCCGCGCAGAGAGAGGCGGGCCGCCGATAGCGCGGCCGGCCGGTCAGCGCCGCCCCCGCCCCCGCCCCCCGCCCCCGCCCGCCGCCAGCGACCCTGATTGGACGGCAAATGGGGTGTTAAAGCCGGCGACTTGTGGCGGCGACCAGGTAGAGTCGACTCCGTGTGATTTACCGGATCGCTTTTATACGAAGGGGTATAAATCAGGTCATGCTGCGTTTAATTTTCATTTTCTGTAATATACAATTTTAAATTGGAATAATTATGAGCATGCCTAAGGTGAAAGTGCAGCTGGTTGACATTTGCTAACGAATTATGGTTCCGAGGTGCTTTTATAAACCAATCATACCATCTTGCGCAGGAAGTTCCAACTAACTCATCTGAGCCCCCACACTGAACCTAACTAAATTAGCTCAATAACCGTGCTCTCTCGCATGAGCTTGATTCACGACGTTCAGCTGCTGTCGATCAAAGAGCCCCGACCATCAGGCAGATCCGGCGGCGTGCTGACCTTTGACGGTGAGCGTGAACGACTGGCTGATGCGCGGCTCGGTGCTGACTTGGCAGAGGTAGGCGCCCGAGTCGTTCACCCGCGGCGCCAGCAGCTTCAGCGTCCACGTCGTGCCCGTGTTGAACGCCACGAACCGCTTGTCCGTGGTGAAGGTGAAGAGGCCGGTGGTGAGGATGTGCAGGTCCCGCGCCCGCAGCCACGACACCTGAGGGTGGAGGGGGAGGGGTCAGAGGGCACCCTCACACCGCCTCGGGTGGGTCGCGCCGGTTCAAAGGTCGCGCTGTGCTCGGTTCGCTGAGTCCTGCAGTAGAGGTCAGACCAATACATTGTGGGTCCCACCCAATTAAATGGTCAGCCGGTGTGTTATGGCACAGATAGTGACAAAACCAATGCAGTTCAATTTCCGGCTCGATACGGGCGAAGTCAATAACAACAGCGGAACTATATGTGCGTCTTTTGCCAGGCTGAAATCAACCAATACAAACTGTATCAGATATATCTAATGTGACCAGCCTAAAACATATTGCCTTTAAACGAAATACAAACCCCTTAGCTTTGACACTAAGAAGCATGCTGATCCGGATAGTCTACGACACACTGGCGATTTGGAATCCCCCAGCTGACCATTTGCCTAAATGCATGGCATTTGTGCGGAACCGGCGCCGGCGGCCGATACCGCGATGGCCAGTTGTGGAGAATTAATGAACTCCCTGCCGCGGTCTAAGTGGGTTTGTTCGCCGCAACACGGCCCGACCAAATTTACATCGCGGCTCTGCAGTCTCCAGAAGGGGCGCGAGAACGGTCGATCTGTTCGTCAGTGATGGCACATGGAGAGCGGCCAGAGCGTAAGACGGTCCCAGAGACACGCGGAATGGGGTCGGTCACAGCCCGCCCTAGCCAGAGTTGATTGGATCTCAGAGCGCCCTAGACAGTGGACTCTGCTGATGGGGTCTCAGAGTGCCCTAGACGGGGCTCTTGGCTGCTGGGACCTCGGGCGCTCTACACCGTCTGTGCCGCAGGGCGTGATGGGGTCACACAGGTCACCTGACACCTCCCCATATCGCGGGCCCAGACGGCTCCAGCGCAAAGTAGATATCCGGATGGCCGCTGGGATATTTCACAGCTCGCTGGACCCACGACGCAAGAAGACACGTGGAAACGGGAAAACTATTTTAGTTGTCAGCTGCTTTAGCTGGTTATTCATAAACGGCCGTCTCCTCGGGGCTGGGTCGAACAATGACTACAGCCTTTCATCTGACGGCGACGAAATAATATTTGGCGCAGCCTTGAGCCTGGATGAACATTTACCGTTTCGTTTATCATCTCCTTTCAGGCTTCATAGGCGTCTATGATCTAAAATGGATAATTATCGTGCTTTAAGCTGCGTTACCCTGTTAGTCGAGGGTTTCAGTCTGAAGAGCATGTATTGAAAAAAATACAATCTCCCGATTCAACCCCCCCCCCCCGTGCCCCCCTATCCCATTTCATCCAAGTATCCCTTCATGGAGCCATAGCTGACCTCATCTCCATTGCTCTCTAGCCATCTCTTCTTTGTGTAGGAGCTGATGAGGTCCAGTGTTCTGATAAATACTTCCCTTTGTTATAGTCTTTATCACATAATGAAAACCTACCTGATATATTGCGATGTTTACTCGTCGGATAAGACGTGCCGTTGGGGTGAAATTACGAGCGTCTTTTATGAAGTCGCCGCAATTTTGTAATACCATTTCCGGCAGTTCTCAGAATACTTACGGGATGCGACTGAAATAACCGACAATTTTTTTTTCAAAATGTTTATCAACTGGGCTAGTAGTCAAAACTACACCAAACACAAGACTTCGTTGTCTTCCTTCTTCATTTAGTCAAGTTTTAACTTCGCGTTTGAGAGGAACGAGATGGCCAGTTTTCAGAAAGCATCAGACGGCATATTTATTGAGAAAAAATTATGCCGTCGTCAGACATTCAGCTTAACCCGCGCCCCACTGAGGGGGGGCTATTCATAGCCCCTCCCGTTTTTCTGCAATAACTTCTAAACCGCTTGACGTATAAACGCCAAACTTTCAGTACCTTCGGCTGCATCGATTTGACACCTTGTGTCAAAATATGAACTTCGTAGCTACCATAGGTCGGCCGGAAATGACGTCAGGGTGACGTCATGTTCGGCCGATTTCGACGCAAAACATTGAACCACGGCAATCGCCCCCAAGAGCTCAGTTGTTAAGCTAGATCCAATTTCTTTGCATGAAAGGACTCAAAATGGACTGCGCTATCAACTTCTTATCTCAGATTTTCAAAATTTCGAAAATTTCGAAACTTTTATAATTATAAAATAAAATTCAAAATTTATATTTTTATATTTTTTCAAACAGTTTTTGACTTTTCGAAAAAAAAAACGGAATAAATGTGATAGAACGCATGCTTATAACTAGCTCTAGCAAAGTTTAGCTCAATATCTTCAAAAATGGCCAAGTTATACGCAATATTGCAAAAATTCACAATTATTAATTTTTCAAATCAATTTTTCAGTACGTATTTGACATTGTACACCAATATAAATAGCACCATCGTGTTCCTGAGCTCAAACTGCATCCAATAGACACCTTTTTTTAAAGAAAATTTAACTTCAAAATTTGACCTTTTTGACCTGAAAGTGACCTGACCTAAGCTAAATTCGACTCAAAATGACCTCGAATGACACAAACGACATCAAATTCGAAATCTATGGCCTAAATGGATCATAAAACATGTGTCACGTGACCGAAGCATGATATAATATTTCCGTGACTGTGATGACCTGACCCTGACCTGAAAATCAAAATGCAAGTATGGTACCCTCAGGGTATCTAGAGCATCTGTTCATGAGTGTGTAAACCAAAAATTAGCCTGATCTGACTTGTTAGACGGCGGCCAGAGCCCAAAATGTGAACAAGCCAAAATGCTAACCAGTATAACGCCTTTTGGGGCGACTAACGGAGCGAGCGAGAGGGTGAGCCTTGCACGTGCGAAATTTCGAGGGGGTACCTCCAGCTGACTTGTGCACGGCACCCTACTAACCGGTCTCTAGCGATGTGCCAAATTTGAGCACAATCGGCCCAGCCGTTCTCGAGATCTGGAAGCGGCACCCTGCACGTGCGCACGTGCAAAATGGGTCCCAACTGACTTTTGCACGGCACCCTACTAACCGGTCCCTAGCCATGTACCAAATTTGAGCGCCATCGGTCCAGCCGTTCTCGAGATCTGGAATCGACCCCTGCACGTGCGCACGTGCAGCAGCACCCCAACTCTGGCACATGGATATGCAGTGCCTAGTGGGTGCCTACCTTCATGCCAACTTTCAGCGCAATCGGCCAAGTTGTTACCGAGATATTGCAACAATTACAAAAGTGACACCTCTTCGTTTTGCACGTGGCACGTGCATAAGGGGTCACCCACATGCATCGGGAATAGTCCAATACTTGGTAGAAGGAATGAAGCTACCCTACAAAAATTACCGCATGTAAATCGGTCAAGTGGTTGCTGAGATATAAGCGTCGCAGAAGCGTGACCACGGCCGGCCGGCCGGCCGGCCGGCCGGCCGCTCATACTCAGAAATTTCCGTTATTCTACGTAAGACTCCGCTCGCTTCGCTCGCTCCGTAATAACTTTTACTTTGACCTGACCTGTGACGTCATCGGTGGCCTCGAGGTCAATGAAATTCGGTTTTCCGGACAGTTTTTTTCCGGGGCTATCAGACGCCGTTTGAATTTTGACGACGATCGGCCCATTAGTTTCGGAGTTAGGAGGGGGCTATGGAGAGCCCCCCCCCCCTCCAGTAGGACGTGTTATACGCAGACCCCAGTGGGGCGCGGGTTAAGTGACCTCATTTTCACATGAACAGTAAAACGCAGCACATATATTTTTAGCTTGGCTTTTAAGCTTTCGCGTTATCATAAATAAGTGGCATAAGTTCAGTCCGCTCCCCAGCCGCCTCTCCTTACAAGGTTGAACCTCGGCCTTCACCCCGAGGTTGGAGCCAGATTGCTGAAACCACGGTCTAGTGTCTGGGTTAACCTTTCTTAATTAGCCCCAAACTGTGTCGTAAGCGGCCGTGACTGTGAGTACTGCGGTGTGCACTTTAGGGTGTCTTGTGAAAGGGCTTACACAAGCACATTATTTATTAGCATTATTTGTACAGGTCTCGCGAGATTAAGCGGTAGGTTTTGCACTTTTACATTTCCGGATATATCTCAGAAACTAATCGATCTACGATGAAGCCATTTTACACGATCATGGCCGGCTTGTTACCCAACAAGTCGATCGCATCTTCAACACTTAAAAGCTTAACCCTATTAGTGGCAGGCTCCTGGCTACCCCATATTAGTGGCAGGGGGGGGGGCTGTTTACGACCCCCCCCCCTTGATATCTCGAGATCTAACCGGCCGATTTTCAAAATTCAAACGGCATTCGATTTGGCTCAACGAGATCTACATTTCTAAAAAAAAATAAAATTAAAAAATGTCAATAGGGGGTAGAGGGGGGTAAAAACGGGCAAATTGCAGATACATTTTAGACTGTTTATCACGGCCAGGTTTCTGAACCAATCTTAACGCAACTTTTACCGATCGATAGAGAATGAACCAGGAATTCACATGGATCCTAAAAATATGCATTTTCAAAAATCATAGGCGGATACAGATCATTGAGATTAGGGGTACACAAAAAGTATAGTAAATAAGGTTTTTGTTGGTACTGTTTCTAAAAAGGGTGGCAATGGTCTTGTTATGTTACAATTTTCTTATGAGAGAACGACTAAAATTGTATTGGTCATGCATAGGCGGTGTCAGGGCACCTATGTTGGGATGTAAAAAATAACCCCCCTTTTTGGACGCCTGGATCCGCCTATTATAGCAAAAACGTGTCAGAAGAGGATGCACAATAACTTTGTATATGTTATCACATGATACCTTTCATTCACTGTTCGTAAAACTGGTGCAGCATCGTGATCTTCGCCAAATGACTCGCTTCACGAATAGGACCCCCCAATTTCCAGTGCTCTGGAGCCGCCCCTGGTAAAGTTATGAACTTGAAATTTTCAGGGAATGTGCCCAATTTAGTTTTAGGAAAAGTCAGAAAATTTCAGCATCGTAGCTTCAGCGGTTTCGGAGATATTCCCGAAAAACCTGAGGGGTGGATAAAAACAACCCCCCCTGCCACTAATAGGGTTAAGACGACGAAGATACATATAGCCTGAAGTACACTAAATTTTCTAGGTGCAAAACCTACCGTTAAAACCCGCGAGACCCGTACCTATCGGCTTGCATTATTACGTATTTGTAAGCTGCAAATGAAGCAGCTGAAGGAATATTGTGATTATTCTAATTTACTCGTGGTGTCTCATTAGTTCCCATAAAAGAAGCTTTGGAACCGTTAAAGCATTACGTACAAATTCGCATAGGTACTTTACCAGTGTTATTGACAAGAAAAACATCAAAATAAAATAAGTAATACAATACTACAATGATTTTAACAATATTGCATCTGAATATGTCCAATTCACATTATAAGGGAAACATATTATCTAAGCTGGCGTACATACACCTGTATAAAGTTCATATCTTAACATCGAAAGCAATACGGTCACAATTTACGATGACAGCCATGAACACCATGCCGCCAAACCGAGGGTAAACACATTTCCAAAGGCCCGGCCGAGGCTGACATTTGTCACAATAGATTGGCGGGTGATTGAGTGATCCTCTGATCGTCACCATTCCCATCAGGCTTCGAGTGGCCTCTCGGCTATGATGGGCCGAGGAGCCGGCCCCTGATGATCCCAGCAGCTCATATCGGTGCAGCGATCAGTGCCCTCGTTGGGTGCGCGGCCAAATTGCGCCCGCGGGGCCAGTGGCCGTGCCAGCGGGCCTCCCCGCTCGCCTGTTACCCATCCGGAAACAAGCCCGATCGGACAGTCGCAGTGTCCGGCCGGAGAGCGCCGCAGTGTCCCCCAGACGGTGGCAGCCGGTCCCGGGGACTTGGGCGGGCCAGGGAATTGGCAGCGAGACGAGACTAGGGGGCGTTTGAGGAGGGTTGGGGGGAATGTAGTACATAGAGGCCGGGGAGAGGTTCAACAAACAGTCGGATGAGGAGACATTTGAGACACTCCGAGGCCGTTACCTTGGCCGTTCGGTAATCAGTCATTCGTGATCAAAAGGAGTACCGTAAAGTGGGACTATTTGAGACAGTGGGGCTATTTGAGACCGTTAAAATCGCTATAAAATGAAGATCGTTTGATTTTTGTGTGATATTTTTGCTCAGGGAGTGTGGAATCGAGTAGTAAGTCGCCTGAGCAAATAATTAAGCATAGATGTTAAGTGGTTTTTATTTTATAGCAATTTTAAATACTGTCTCAAATAGCCCCACTGTCTCAAATAGTCCCACCTTACAGTACCTATTATGATCATTTTGTAGCAGAGGATGTTCATGGCATTGGTACTGGCTTCATTTTTATTGTTGAACATTGTAGGACAGATGCTTGGCTATTTTTAGCAACTTTTGCCGACCGAAGAAAATAAATATGTTATGGGAAATAAAAGAGGCATTCAAACCTAACGTTTATTTTATATTTCTGCAGTTCTTTTCTCTACCATTTAATTTCCTTTTCGTTGCGATTATTTTCCGTCCTTTCAGAAGCGCTGCTCAATGTCCGATGTGGGAAAACAGCGAGCAATCACCGACCGAGACGAGGAGTGGAAGAGTTGAGATACTCGAGGAGAGGACGGGAAACGCCAAACAACATCCGCCAGAGGCACATGTGGAGAGAGGGAGGGGGAGAACACGGCCCGGTGGCAGCAGAGCAAATGGCACGGCCGATTGATTATTGACATCATTAATCTCTGCTGCCGCCGGGCGACGGCCGCGGCCGCGGGAGCTGTCACCCTCTCCTGCTCCCCGCCCCACCCCACCGTCACGGAGCGCTCCAACAGCGCAAACAAACAGATCGCTCTGCCGATATTTGCATTCAAGCCACTCTCTGTTCTGGCTCAGAAGCGCCATCGCCAATAATGTCGCGCGGAACTCGCCATTCAAACCCGCGGGCTCCGACTGAGGGAGAGATATGACAGTGACGAAGAGGGATTCGAATATTCTGTCTGCATACATGTGTGGCAAAACAAATAAATAAAGAAGATGGCGAAAATGGCATTAAGTGTACCTGTGCATACCTTCAGGGACCGTATACCTACCTGAGCATGGCGATACGGCGAGTTTAGCGCTTTTTAATGTCTTTTCGATTACTCTAATTATTTCCGACGTTTCGATTCGAAACATCAAATTTCGAATCTATTCAAACGTGTGGAAAGTGAAATGACTAAATGGGGATACCTACGTCGCATAAGCAACGCGAGAGTGTAGGCAGACGATTGGTTATAACAGAAAGGTTCAGCCAAACTGAATAAATAAGTAAACCGTGTCTTAGAAAATGTCACACCCTGGTGAAAATGTCCTGGTGCTGGGGTAGTACGCTTACCAATCTATCCCAGGTTGGCCACCTGGCAGTGCAGGTGCCAAGTGTTACACCCAGTTCCGTCCTGGTGCTGGGGTAGGGTACGACGCTTACCGATCTGTCTCCCAGGTTGGCCACCTGGCAGTGCAGGTGCGCCGGCTGGTTGGTGCGACTCGTCACCTCCCGGGCCTCGGGTGACGTCACAAACTCGGGCAGCTGGCTCTGCGACGAGGTCTCATTGGGCGGCCGGCCCGGCGGTTCAGCGGCCGTCGGAATGTACGGAGAGCCTGGAACGAGCAGAGAGACGGTCAGCAGGCTGGAGTCGGGCGGCTGGAGCGGTCAGCAGGCTGGAGTAGGGGGCTGGAGCGGTCAGCAGGCTGGAGTCGGGCGGCTGGAGCGGTCAGCAGGCTGGAGTCGGGGGGGGGGGGGGCTGGAGCGGTCAGCAGACTGGAGTCGGGGGGGCTGGAGCGGTCAGCAGGCTGAAGTCGGGGGGGGGGGGGCTGGAGCGGTCAGCAGACTGGAGTCGGGCGGCTGGAGCGGTCAGCTAATTGAGCTGGGAGGGGACTGGAAGTCATGGGCTAGACGACTGCTAGCTGGACTAGGACTTTGTGGGCTGAAACGGTCAGAGTACGGGGATTCAGGTGTTGGGGTCGTCAGCTGCAGGGACTGTAGCATGGTCAGAGCCTGAAATAGGCCAGGAGCAGGTCGCGGTTAGTTGGGGGATTCAGGAGCGAAACAGGCATATATTTGAGCTCAGGGTTCGGAGCAGTAGACCGGTTTCAGTTCAAGGACTGGACCGCCAGCAGACTGGAGTTTAGTAGTTGAAATGATGACAATAACCCGGGGACTTAAACGGGAACTAAAACGCTCCGTCGTCTTGAGTTCAGGAGCCTGAAGAGTACGGTGGGCTGGGAAATGGCCATCGTAACCTCACAATGTTTAGGTGATTCAGTTCTGGTATTATTCTAAATAAAACTCGGCAAAGTTTAGTGATGGAAACCCGAATCGTCATGACATGCAAGACGTCCGACGGATTGCCTCGTCAAAAGACCAAAACTGTTATTGGTAGGAAGCACTGAGTTTATGGTTCTCGGTATCAGTTAGTTCAGGTCAAGGGCAACAATTTGTGGCAACAGTGCCTAGGTCGAGGGAGCTCAACTACAGTGGCGGATCCAGGGGGGGGGGCAAAATGGGCATTTGCCCCCCCCCCCCAAACGGCATGATTTTAACATTACGCCTATGGACGATGCATGGAAAGAATCGATAAATATTTATGGTTTGCCCCCCCCAAACCTCTGAGCTGGATCCGCCTCTGCTCAACTATGAGCCTAATAGCTGTGAAAATATAAGGTTTATACATTACAGTATATTGGAACGAATTGCCTTGCATATGGAAGATGAAAAAGCTCATGAATTGAAAATTTGAAATAATATATCAGAACTTGAAGCGGTTCGAAATGTTTTCTCCGAAGGGACGGGAGAAGTTCAAGAACGAAAATGGCTCAGATTTCATAGTATTTCATTTCATCCATCTAAGACCTAAGTGAATCAAACTTTCATGAAATTCTCTCACATTTCGTTTCAATGAACTCATGCGTAGGATCTATGATGATCTATGGTCTTTGCTGAGATAAAATTTTCATGTAATAGAATGCAAACTGGGTCAAAAGCTACGGACTAGCCGTGCAAATCATGAGTTACTTTACAATGTCATTGGCCTTGTCACAGCAAATTTTAGCTTATTCCCCATTGCCAATGACGTTTAGCGAATAGCTGTGCTGGCTGTGCTGTTGGAGAATGATTCGAACGGGCAATCTCCATCTATAGGATATCATTTATGAGCAAAGTGACAGCTTTCCATTTTCCCGGGACCAGTTTCATCGAGAAAAATGAAACCCTCGACGCATATGTAAAACACTATTCGCTAGCTGTTCAATGTAAATCTAACAAATCGCACATCTTGCCGGTCCAGTGCACTGCTCAGCCGTGCAGAAGGCAGAGTTGAGCATTGGGGGAATGATTCAGTCTGCAAATTCGTAGCCAGTTGATTTTGACGACAATATGCTATCAAATTCATTATACATATTTTCTTATGATACAAAAAAAAAACGTTTTACCAAATCAAGACTGATACTGGAAATTTAGCATTAATGAAGCATAATGACACATTTCACCGTGCTGGCTTATGACCAGCGGATACACTCGAGCACAGAGGGCAGGGTCAGTGGAGAGGGGTGAGCTCACCACAGCGAGTCCCGGGGCCGGATAACACGGCCATCACTGCGGCTTTTCGCCCTCCATTTGTCGCACGCCGGCAAGCAAAGTTAATCGCCCTAACTAGCCTGTAATCCCGTTATATTGGGCGCGCCTGTAATGAACGCTGCTCTGTCCGGGGTCACGTAGGTCGCAGTGGTCGGTCGTGCCCGGTCGCAACGCCGGAAGGCAACAGGGGCCCCGTCGTATAGCGTGCCGCTAAATGACGACGTGGTTACGTAACTGCGGGCACCGTCAGTGTTAGCGTTCATGGCACAGAGCGAGTAGCCGATTGAAGTTTTCATACCCGCTTCGAGGAAATTGGTGCTAGTTTGATGAGGGATAATTACGGCGGACATTATGCAAATAGTTTGGTAACAGAACACCATATGAAGCCTGTCTAAGGCTGCTTCAAAATCAAACTATTCAGCTTACGTTATCAGCAAGATCTCGAATATTGGAATTAAATTAACTGAAATGAACGCGAAGCCGTGGTAAAATCATTAACGTCAAGGAAACTGCTAACTTTTTCGTAAAGTTTCTTTGAAATGTACACAGTGTGATAGGCTTGATAATGCGTTTGGTGTTTGCCTTTAGTTCATGTTGCAAAAACATGATATCTTAGCTTCGATGCCAATTCAGAGAGACCATCTCTATCATCGACCGTGAATGGCCCACTGATTTGATTGGCGGCTGTTGGAACTGAATGCCCTTCCACAGAGGTCTCTAAGGTACACAGCGTTGCGGAAAGTGGCAAGGACATTCGATAGATCGCCAAAATGTGTTGAAAACGGTTCGATCAGAGTTTTGAAAGCCCAATGCTCAGGAAATCGGAGCCAAAGACAACTTTCTTCAGCTTGCCTCTTGAGCTATGAAAGGCGCACAAAGTTCCGTGAAAATCTGTTTAAAATAGCTGTGAAAAATTGTACCAAAGCACAATGCCGTTTGAATTTCGAAAATCGGAAGCCTTTGGCCACTGAAGGGGTATTGTTAGTAGAAAATATAAACATGATGTGGAAGTTAAATAATTATTTCAGCACATAATGAAAAAATGTAGCTTTAAATGAATTTACATATTAGAGAATGGATTCACTCAATTTGTTCAATCGGTGTTCTAGAAAGATAACAATGAAAGAAGAAAATAGAACGCGCTGAGGAGCGTTTCTGAAGTGACAGGGAAATGCCTCATGCGTATATATGTAGTGGAAATAAAGCTTCGAAGAGGTGCTTCATTACGCAATATAACATTATTTCATTCAATGCAATTTATGTAACACCTTTCTAACGACTGCGGAGCTTCAGAAATGGAACAGTTTGTAGCAATATCGCTGTTCCCGGAACCGGCGTCTATAATTGAGTTGGCTGCCCCACCGGGAGGTCGCCCTAATGGTGCCATGATGGGCTCGCAATGACGATGGACGCCACCATCACGGATTGGCCGATTGGTGCGGAAAGCCGCGATAGACATCGGGTCACGGCTCAGAACGCAGCAGCAGAGCCGCCGCGGGCACCGTGCCGGCAAACAGAATGGGGCGCGTCACGGAACCCAACTTCCCTTCGAGCAAGGTGTATTGTTCACTGCCGCCGGCAGAGGTCGCTGAGTGGCACAGCTGGCTCCAGCAGACACGCATCAGGGCCATGCATGCCCCGCAGTGGGTCATATGTCGGCAGGCAGAGGCCGAGTGGTCGTCTTCAGTCGGTTGTTAGTTGTGAGTAGTGATGACGGAGCTTCGATAGTTCAGCCTCGTTTCTATGTCAGTGTCGGTACTACTGTTATTGCTTCTAAGTTCAAATAAAGCGGGCCGGATATGTTTCAGGTCCACCAATAATGCCATAAAGCTGGATAAAAAAAATATCAACAGCAGTTCAAGACTCGTGAGACGTTTGCCAGGCGGGTGGCGAAACTAGTCAAACAGACAGAGACAGATCAGAGAGAGCAGAGAGAACAGAGAGAGAGAGAGAGAGAGAGAGAGAGAGAGAGAGAGAGAGAGAGAGAGAGAGAGAGAGAGAGAGAGAGAAAGAGAGAGAGAGAGAGAGAGAGAGAGAGAGAGAGAGAGAGAGAGAGAGAGAGAGAGAGAGAAAGAGAGAGAGAGAGTAAGTGCCGACCTGTGACTTCGACTCTAGCAATGACGCACAAACTTGGAGCATCCTTGGCCGGAGAACTGTGCCCGGTGCTGTCCTCATGACTACTTGAGCCGGGTGAGTGCCGCAATCAAACCGTGCGATTGCTATCCTCGGTCTATAAAGTCACAGACTGGCGGATCATTCCCGCTCATACAGAACAATTTCCACAATGTTCGGACAAAGTAGTCCGGAAATGGCCAGCGAACCACTGCCTGATGAGAGCCATCACCCAGCCGAGCTCCTGTTCGGAGATTGATGCTCATATTTCGGTGGCCCAGCTGGTCAAGTAAGGTAAGAGCCTAGAGGTGGGCGAAAAAGCTTATCGATCTGGCGCCCGCCCAAAGCTGGCCGTTGTTCTGTTGTTTGAGCCGGTCAGAAGAAACAAATGAAAAGGCAACGGAGAGCTTATCTTGGCTGAAACAAAAAGATGAGATGACAGGAAACGAGGTTGCGAGCAAACATGCCGAGCGAGACAGAATTACAGGAGTATGAGTGGGTCGTTTGACGCTCATCATGCACCATAGGCAAGAATAGATGAAGTATTGACAGAAATAAGAGCTCGACGGCGTTCAAATCTAGTGCCTTTTGGCATTGCAACGATCAGGAATCGGATATTAGTCAGCTAAATGGCCTCTGACAAAGTGTTTGTCACACCCTCTGGGAGGTTCGCTCGTCCATTGCCAAAGAAACGCATCACCGCAAATGATAGCAAAACTGCTCTTTGGTTAGTTAGTGTAAGCACGTACACGACGCACATAGCCAGGGCAGCTGCAAATTTGGTTATACAAATGCGATGTGACATGAGTCAACGTTTCAGCAGCTGAAGCTGACACTTCACTATACTCAAATTTAGAATCTCCTTGATGTTTTCTTGTCTTCTTATTATACACATTCAGGTACTTATTATACA